AAAGAAATTGACATGCATATAAAACATATTACCTTTCCTGTGAGTTCATCATCGTCCGCTGCAACATCGCTAAGCAACGTTGTCAAACAGAAACTAAACACTTCACTGCTTGGTAAGTCTATATGAAATGATAAATTGCCATTATTAGGTTCCATCTCAACACAGTATTAAACAAGTCATTGTTAATGACATAGTCCCCAATGGAATTAGGAGAAATGTTATTTATGCCAAAAAAATAATTGACTGGTCTAGTATCAACAGAAATTAGATGTATTAAATGACTCTTCCAAAATCGAAATATATGGTCAGAAATTAAACAGTATAATTTAATATGCATTTCTTTATCTAAACTGAATTTCATTTGTCCAGGCTCATGTACAGAAATATAGTAGTATGGACAAAAAGCAAGATTGCAGGCAGTCAACCATCTTTGATCCGATTGTGAAACTAATTCTCATGGACATGTATCCTAACATGTATACCGATAATTTGAAAAGAAAAGAAAAAACATTTTGAAAAAACAAAATGGCTGCCAGTTGGTCATCATGGATATTTATCTCAACATTGGTAATGTTTGTATCAAGCTTGAATGAAAACCAACAAATCCTGTCCAAGACTAATGCCAGTCTTCATATTTATTCTTGTACATGTATTCCTATATATATGATTTATGTGACAAATATGAATTAAAATGGTCCATAAGCCTGGGAGATATTTTATTGTAGTGTGGTTAAAAAGCAAGATGGCCACCAGTCAGCCATCCGATTGTACAACAAATTGTCATGGACATGTAATCTAAAATGTACAACGTATGTACATTTAGCATGCATAAGATACCACATTTTCAACAAAAAATGGCTGCCAGTCAACCATCTTTGATCTAATCATGAACAAATCTACATAGACATGTATCCTAACATTAATAATGTATGTACCAAATTGGAAGAGAAACTAACAAAGCATGCATAAGATACCACATTTTCAAAAAACAATATGGCTGCCAGCCAGCCATCTTGAATTGAATTAGTAAACCACTGCATGTGCATATGTCCCAGGAAAAGTGCTAGGCACATGCAAAGAATGAACAGATTTGGTCCACAGGTTTCTGAAATATTCGAAATTATGAGCCCACAGGTACTAATAAGACTGAATTCAAGATGACTGCCATATTCCCCCAAGCCAAGCGCCCTCTATATTTATGATACATGTACTTACATCCTTTAACATGAAGTATTGGGTCTTCAATCCATATTGCTCTGGGAAATGCTTTCAACACAGCCAGTAAATATGATACAATTTTTTCCTTGAACTAAAAAAAAAAAAAATACCGTTAAAGTCCTAATATAAACCGCATACGTAATAGTAACCGCACCCCCAATTCCGGCTTCGGGGTTAAAGAGTTCTTAACAAAAATTGAAAACTTGAAAAGTACCTATTACTAACCGCACCCCCAATTCAACAAGACCGTGACTGTCTTCATTGTTTCAACCAGCTGTTCCAAAACGGCATTGTTCCTAATCCTATTCTTTGTTTCGACAACATGCCTAAAAATATTCACACCTATTTATTGTTCAGCGGTGATAAGATGTCAGACAGGCAATGAAACTGCTTTTGTTCTGGCGGCGACCTCTGTCAATACTCTTTCTGAATACGTCTGTGTGTTTCGTAAGTTTTAGACAATGAGCTTTTATCACCGTAAAAGTGTTAAACTGAGCATTGAAGAATAATTTATCTTTCGAAAACAAATAATTTCTTGATTTAAAAAAAAAATCATGCCGTTTTCCCATGGAAATCAAAGGCAAAAGATCGCACTACATTATCGGTAAATCTCTTCCGTGTTGCGTTCACCATGAAGTCGCTGAACTGTCATTAACATATTTAAATGAGCTATGTAATTTAGACACGTGGGCACCATCCAGCATTTTGATTGGTTAATTAGCGACTTGACCTATCCGGTCAATAATACGT